AGCCAGCTGATTTCTATAGCTGTGACCAGAAGTGCCAGTATCCAGAAGCTTAAAGGTAGGAGAGCAGATGATCAGAAACTCAAAAGGGATTTTTTTTTAATCCCCAAATTTAAAGCACAACACCCTATTTAATGTGTCTAGAAGCCAGATGGTATCAAGGAAAGAGACTGTCGCATCCCTACCTGCAGGCCACCTCCACATCCCGGCCACACCCACACTCCTGAGTTAATATGCTGTAATTCAAGCCCATCTGAAATATCCTTGTTACGCGAACTGTTTGCACAGGAAGAAAATCAGATAGTTAACCATAACTAGAACACAGCCTAGTCTGGCTGTTTAAGAAAGCCATGTAGACATACACAACTTCTAGGTAATACTCCTTACTATTTAAACCAGCAAAGATAAAATATAAATCCTGGTGTTGCCTAAACTGTGGGTAAACAGGCATTTACTCTTACATATGTATTACTTTCAAAATATGTAAGCTTTAGATGGTAGGAAGTCAAAGAAGAGACGTTTAGGATTAACAAGCCCAACCCTTTCCTTTCTCAGGTGAATGTTATATCTGTGACTGTTTTGTAACTGCCAATTTATACTTCTTAATCCCTTCACCTTGCCCAAGCCCTTCGTGATGGTCTAGGCGATGAGTGTTCCATCTCCAAATACACAGACTGACATGCACAGGCACTCAAAAACTAGCTGAATAAGTGGATACCCAACAACTAGAAGCAAGTCAAGCAAATTGCAGTTGACCAGCAAGATACTACAGGCTTTTAAGATGCTGTCAAGCGGAAAGCCATAGATCTACACATCAGTGACAGGTCTCCATCTGTTTGGCCTTAATTACCCAGAGCCGCTTCACCTCATCACTGTCCCTCCATTCTCCCCAACCTTTCGTTAGGCACCATCTCAGGGCACCCACAGGAACCCCTGCAGGCCAACTGTCCTAATAAATATACCTTGACCATCCCCCCAGGTTTGTGCACAGACTTGCCCCATTGCAACATCCCGCTGTACGGAGGGCCTCAAGTTGCTGTATGCAGTCACCTCCCAGGGAGGGGCACGCAAAAATTGTTTGTAATTTTCCACCAGAATGAAGAGTACTGCAAAGAACAATCTTGCATAAGCACTTATCTTTGGTCTGAGATTATTTTTCTTGACAGATTCCTAGAAGTAGATTTACCGGCTTAGAGGATACACACATTTTATTTATTTTTTTAATATATTGATTTTAGAGAGAGAGAGTGGGGAAGAGAGAGACAAACATCAACTTGCTGTTCCACCCATTCATGGAGGAGGCAAACATTTTAAATTCTGACACTTACTGGTTGAGAAACATTACATGGTAATTCTCAAACTCCATGTATTTAGGCTTTACCTGAGGAATTTGTTTAACAATGCACAATCCTAACAAACATCAAGTGCTGGAGAAGATGTAGAGAAAAGGGAACACTCCTGTACTGTTTGGTGGGAATGCAGCTGGGTGCAACCATTATGGAAAACAGTACGGAGGTTCCTCAAAAAAGTAAAAATAGAACTACTTTAAAAAATAAAATAAAATAAAAATAGAACTACCTATGCATGACCTGGCAATACCACTTCTGGGCATTTAACTGAAAAAATCCTAAATACTAATTCGAAAAGATATATGCATCTGTATGTTCAATGAAGCATTGTTTACAATAGCCAAGCTACGGAAGCAACCTACGGAAGCCCGTCAACAGATAATTGGAATATTACTTGGCCATAAAAATTAACATCTTACCGTGTCACTTATATGTGGAATCTAAAAAACCAAACAGAAACAGACTCATAGATACAGAAAATAAACTAATGATTGCCAGATGGGAGAGGGGCTAGGTGAAAAGGTGAAGGGGTTAAGAAGTATAAATTGGTAGTTACAAAACAGTCATGGGGATGTAAAGTACAGCATAAGGAATATAGTCAATGATATTGTAGTAACTGTGTATGGTGCCAGGTTGGTACTAGACTTATGAGATCACTTCTTAAGTTACATAAATGTCTGACCACTATGCTATACACCTGAAATTCATATAATATTGAATGTCAACTAATTGAATAAAAAAACTTTTTCTCCTTCTTGTACTGTTTATCTTCCGCAACACCTTCTTCTACCTCCCCTCCACTCCCCTTTCCCTATGGTAATCACCATACTGTTGTCTGTGTCTATGAGTTTGGGGTTTTTTTTGCTTAATCCTTTCACCTTTTTCACCCAGCCCTGAACCTCCCCTGCCCTTTGACAGATATCAGTCTGTTCTGTAAAAATACCTATTTAAAAAAAATATTTATTTATTTTTAGAGAAAGGGAAGGAGAAAGAGAGGGAGAGAAACATCAATGTGTGATTGCCTCTCGTCCCCAATTGGGGGATCTGGCCCTCAACCCAGGCATGACTGGGAATCGAACCAGCAACATTTTGGTCTGCAGGCCAGCGCTCATTCCACTGAGCCAAACCAGCCAGGCCTAAAAAAGCACCTATTTTTAAAAAATTTATTGATTGATTTTTAGAGAGAGAAAAAAAGAAACGTCAGTTTGTCATTCTACTTATTTATCCATCCATTGGTTGATTCTTGTATGTGCCCTGACGGGGGATCACACCTGCAACCTCAGCATATCAGGAAGATGCTCTAACCAACTGAGCTACCCAGCCACTGTTAAAAAATAATAATAATTAATTAATTATTTGTTTTTAGAGACAGAGAGGGAAGGAGATATATAGAACAGTTGGTTGCCTCCCATATGCTCCCAACAGGGGACCTGGCCTGCAATCCAGGCATGTGCCTTGACCGGGGATTGAACCAGTAACCTTGTGGTTCTCAGGCCAGCACTCAATTTACTGAGCCACACCAGCCAAGGTGAAAAACACTTTTTTAAAATGCTAAATCCTGACTCACTACCAGTCTTGTTTACCTGACAACCTTGCTCCTCTCCCTCTAGGAAGTCTGAGGAGGCACTCCTGAAACTGCTCCTCCTAGGTTATCAGCTCCTAGGCAACTCTGCTTCAGGCTAAGCAGAGAAAGGAGCCGCTTCCTTCCAATTGTCCCAGGGCACCTCAACTAGCATGAGACTGGGGAAGCACTGGCCTAGGGGGCTCCTGGTAGCCAAATTTGTAGGGCAGGTCTCTGGGTTCAAGCCCATGTCCCCAGCAGCTTCCCCAAAATGACAGTCTGGCTCTTGGGCATGATACCTGGTTCTAGGTGCCAAGGACAGAGTCACATCTCTAGGGTCACCTGGCCACGCCCCTGTTTTCACTTCCAGGCCCCACTTCCGAAGGTCCCCATCCCACACATGCTCTGTGATCCTAGTGATCAGGACTCAGTGGGTTTTGTCCTTCTTATCTGAAACTCCCCAAGCCTTGCTCTTGTTTTTCTAAGAAAGCTGTGGACCAAACACCACCTTCCCTAAGAAATTGTTTAATATTGGAACAATTAAAAAAAAAGAAATTGTTTGGGACCTCCACCCTGGGCCTTGGCTTCCCTATCTGCAAAGTGGAAAGCACTGGGTAACGGTACTGACACTTTGGGTGCTGCTGTGAGGAGAGTAAGTGCGCCATCTAGGTTTTAAGGGTTTGCAGGGAAGTTCGGCTTCAGTGAGGAGTCCAGGTGCAGCTTAACAGTAACTTAATCAGCATTTCGTATTGGCTTAGGGCCTGTTTGGAGAAAATTCAATTTTTGTTCCCAGAGTTCTCCATTGTTAAAGTGCTATTAAGACCAAAAGTCATTTCAAGGCTTCTTATTTCCAAGCTCAAGGGTCTCAGATGTCTGGGTCCAGAAGAGGAACCAGGGGCCCTCAAAGAGCCTTGCCCAATTTTATTTAGGCTGACTCTGCGCTGGGCGGGGCCAAGGACTGGGTTGAGCGGGGCAAGGGCTGAGATGGGTAGCACACAAGATCTTCCCTCTACCCCAAGGTTCTAGAAGGGTTGGTCAACAGGTATTTCATAGTAAGTGGACGTAGAGTGAGCAAAGAGAAGGGGAAAAGTGTCAGCAGGTAGGCTTGGGGAAGACCCACGGAAATGTCCTGGTGTTGGGTCAGAGGAAAAAGAAACCAGCCAGGAGTGCTGGAGCTCCTAGACAGGGGTCTACCTCCCTCAAGGGCGTCAAGGCCATGGCTTAGGCTCCGCTGTCTAGTCACCTGGGCTGAATGACACTGGTTGGCTGTGTGGCAAAAAGAACGTCTCTGAAACTCACAAGCAAACCATGGGCTGATATATAACAGCACCAACCCCATAAACCGGATTAGACGAGAAGAGACAACTCAAGTGTCTCGCTCAGCTTCTTGTGTTACAAACACTCCCGCAGAGTTAGCTGTTATATTACCTGAGGCCGCCACTAGTGTGCTAGACGTTGGGGCTACAGGCTTTGCGATGGTGTCCGAGGGAGCCTTCCACCCGACTCTAAGGCCCTTGAGTCGCATCCAGAGCCGGTCCTAACTAGCTGGGGGTAAATCCCTGGGCTAAGTGGACCTCAGTTTCCTCTCAGAGCCCTGGTTTACAGTCACACCGCCTGTGGGAGAACCTGGTGGAGAAGCGAATTTACAAACGTCGGAATTTGCATTTTCTCCTGCAAGCAGAGGCCCCCTCCCCCAGCGTGAAGCACACAGTAGGCGCTCCGGAAATGCTCTCCGAAAAGAGGTATGGGCCCCTTCCTGCCCCTAAGGGCTCAATCTCTAGTCAAGGTTCCCACCACTCCTCCATGGAGGCCATGTGGCATTCCTGAGGGTGGGGGTGGGCGCAGGAAGAAGGTGCCCTCCCGGCCCCGCCCCCTCCGGGCGCGGTGGGCGGGGCGAAGCCCTTCGCCGCCGCCGGCACGCCCCGCAGTGGGTGGGCGTAGCTCGACGCGCTCCGCACAAAGTTTGTTTTCTCCCTCAGGGTGGGTGGGGGAGGGCGAGGAGCGGGCGGGGGGTGGGGGAAGGAGAGGGGATCTGACGTCAGGCCGCGAGGTGCTTTCCAGCCGCGAGCTGTCAGGCCGAGTGTCAGGCCCGGCAGGTACGCGGCGCGCTTCCCCAGCGCCCCCTGCCCCCTGCCAGGACGCTCCGGACCGAGCTCAAGGCCGCGTGGACGGAAAAGCCGCTCGGGAAAGTTAGTTCGGGCCGTAGAAGCGGAGCAGATGGGGGCGGGGGGCGCGCGGACAACTTGGAAAGTTTTTTTCTTTGGCCGGGCGGGGGAGGGGGCGTCGTCCTGGCGCGTGCGATTGTGGGTGTGTGAGCTCTGGTGTTTGAGTCCCGACCGCAGTGTGCGGGCTGGGGCCGGCGGTGGGTGCCCCACCCCCTAGGGGAAAAATTCGCTCGGGGACCTTTTTGGGGGGACCCAGCTCTTTAGGACCCCACCACGGCAGACGGGCCGCCCCTGCCCCGACCGGGGTGAGCGCGCGGGGCGGGTTTGTTTGGTTTCAAAAGTGCACGTTGCTAACCGCCGGTCGCCCCCCCCCCCCACCGCCGCGCTCTGGCGGAGCGGGGGTGGGGGCCACTGAGAGTGACAGCTGCGGGTGGGGGCAGCGGGAAGGGCCTGGAGCTGGGAGGGCCCGGAGCCCGCGCGAGTTCCCCTTTCCTTTGAAACAAAGGAAAGTCTGTCTCTGAGGCATCTGTCACTCCCAGGCGGGCCAAGGAAGTGGGGCTCGGGGGGCCAGCGACCCGAAGAAAGTTTGTGCGCGCGGGGACCCTCGGGCACGCGGAGCGTGAGCCGAGCCCCCTACGGGGGAAGCTCTCAGTCTCCGGGGTAGGGGGCGGCCAACATGGAGTCTGGGCGCAGGGCTGGGGGGGGGCGGTGCGGAGGTGGGAGCCCAGCCCCCTCCTCTCCCCTCCCCCTCCGGGCCGAATTCGGAGCACAAAGCCGAGCGCGCAGGCTCGGCCAGCCCCGAGCCCCGAAGAGTCAGCCAGCGCCGAGCTGCGGGGGAAGGGGGTGGGAACCAAACTTTTTCCTGCCCCGGGACAGACACGTGAGTTTTCTTTCTTCCAGAGCCCCTCGCCCCACCAGATTGCGGGCCCGCGGGTGAGCTGGAGCGCCGAGTCTGATGTGGGGTTGGGGACTGAGGGGTGCAGGCGCCCCCAGCGCAGGCGGATTCCCTGCCGCCCCGGGAGCCATGTGCTCTGCCTCGGTCTGGGCCGCGGGGGAGGTTGCGCGCTTTGTGTGAACTGCTGGGAATGCAGCTCCAGTGCGCGGCCCGGGGGAGTGTCCGGCCAGGCTGGAGAGTTGTCAGAAAGTTCGTGCGGGAGTGGCTGCAGGTCGGCGTTGTGGAGTATGTAGTAGGGTGCACCGGGCGTTGTGTCGAGAGTTTGCTGCCTCAGGCCAGTTAGGGTAAGAACTGATGGCTGGTGTGATGACGTCTGGAGTTTTCCCCGTCTGAGAGATCGTGGGTGGGCGGGTCGGGTCGGTTTGGAGTTCGTGGGTGGGCTTATATCCAGGAGTTGGGCTGGTTGTGGGTACCAGTTGATCGGTGCTAGAAGTAAGATTTATTTGTAAACTCTGTGTGTGCTGTATTTGTCGGTGAAATTCGTGGGGGTTCCAGGAGCTGAGCGAGGAGTTGGTGTCAGTTATGAGTGGTTGCCTGGTATGAGTGTGCGGTGTATTTGTGGGGTATCTCACCAGATTGTAGGCGGGCTGGGTGCAGGACACTCTGGAATCCTGCAGACTGGAACTTGGATGACATCCAGGTTGGAATTTGTACATATAACCTTTAGTAAACTCACAGCCTGCCAGGGATGCGTCCCAGAGCCCAGAGCCCAACTGCCCTGGCCAACTAAACTCCAGACACCTGACCTCAGAAAGCAGTCAGGCTGTTGGTGCTCTGAGTTGTGGCACTTCTAATCAATGCCTGTCTCACCTCCAGGTGGCCTGGCTGGGAGGGTAGACCCTTCCCTCGAAAGCCTGGCCTCGCCAGCCCAGTTATCTGGGCTCTGGCCCAAGTCTAGGAAACAAAACCTGGGAAATGCCAGAGTCTGTTGGCCCAGCCTGCTCGGGAGCTGTTAAAGGCTGAGGAGGGAGGAGCCTTTAGATTCTAGCATCAGCTTGGCTTGGAACTTTTGGTTTTAAAATGTAAATCTCTTTTGCATGTGTGAACAAGAAGTTTGTCAGGGGGCTGAGCAACTGAATTCAGTTGTCTAGGGAAACATCGTTCATTTGAAGAGGGGGCACAAGCCCAGAGAGGGGATGACATTTGGCCAAAGTTACACAGCCAGGGTGGAGTAGAGGAACCAGAACCCTGCCATTCTCTTTATTGGGGTTTCTTAAAAGAGTTGATCCTGGCACCAGGCTAGGAACTACATGACAAAGGAGAATGTCTGAGAGACAACTAGCAGGGATGGCCTGACACTCTCTGCAGGGTAGACAGTAGGTGCACAGTAAATGTTACGTGGATTGCTAGTTTCCTGACCCTTGCTGGGTCTTGGAGAGACCTGGGAGGCAAGATGATATGGAGTAGGCTTATGAGAGCTAACTACCTTGGTTCAAACCCACTATGCTATGTATGCTATATCCTGGATGTGAGGGATTTTTTTTATAGCAGCTTTATTGAGATATAATTTACATACCATAGAACTTACCAATTTGAAGTGAACAAGTCAGTGGTTTTTAGTACAGTTGAAATTTAAACAACATGGGTTTAGGCTGTAGGTTCGCTTATGCATATTTTTTTTAAAAAAATAAATACCTGTACTGTTTTCCCATTTGTAGTTTGAGGTTCATGGATGCATTGACTTATTTTATATAGAGGACTTGAGCATTCACCGGTTTTGGTATCCACCAGGGGTTCCTGGAACCAATCCCCTGTTAATAGCAATGGACAACCAAATCTTGAGGGGATCAAAAATTATTTGGCAGTTTTTAAACTGTTTGTGGCTTGGCACCCCTACCCCCCACATTGTTCAAGGATGAACTGTATATTCACAACTATGCAACCGTTACCACTGTCAATTTTAGAACTTTTTTTAAAGGTTTTATTTATTTTTAGAGAGGGAAGGGAGAAAGAGAGGGAGAGAAACATCAATGTGTGGTGCTAATCTTGCGCTCCCAACTGGGGCACCTGGCCTGCAAGCCAGGCAGGCTCCCTAGATTGGGAATCAGACCAGCTACCCTTTGGTTCGCAGGCTGGTGCTCAATCCACTGAGCCATACCAGTCAGGGCAGGACATTTTTATCATCTAAAAAAACCTCCATACCTTTTAGGTATCACCCTTCTATCCACTTCCAGCCCATTCTGGGTGTTTCATTAAAATAGAATTATATAATATGTGTTCTTTGTCATGTGTTTTTTTCACTTAGTATAATATTTTCAAGATTCATCCACATTGTAGCATGGAGCAGGACTTCAGTCTTTTTATAGCCACATAATATTCCACTGTATGGCTAGACCTCATTTTATTTATTAATTCATCTGTTGATAGATGCTTTTTGCTATCATGAATGATGTTGCTATAAACATTTGTATACAAGCTTTTATGTGGACATAGGTTTTCATTTCTTTTGGGTAGATACCTAGCAGTGAAATTACTGCGTCACATGGTAACTCTGTTTAACAGGCACAGTATCATGAATGGCCTTCTTCATCTCTTTGGGCCTTGCTTTGCTCATCTATAAAATGATGATGATAGTAGTGTCTCCCTTACAAGGGCTTTATGAGGATTGAATGAGATGATAAATGGAAAGTTCTCAGTACAAAGCATGGAAAACAGACCTCCATGGAAGCTGTAATTATTTCTAGCCTGGTACTTCTTACAAATGAGCTGCCATTTACAGGAACACTTTATAAGGTATATAACTGTCTGGCCACTATGCTGTACACCTGAAACTAATACAAAATAATACTGAATGTAAACTGTAATTGAAACTTTTTTAATTAAAAAAAAAAATGAGCTGCCATTTTGTTCAGTAGTCATCTACTGAAGTAGAGGCATTTTGGACTCATCCCTACTAGCTTGCCTACCTACGCTGTGGTATGGCCTGAGACTATGAATTGCAGTTTCGTCATAGTTCTGGTGTGTCTGGAGACTAGAAAGAGAATAAATGGCAGTCCATGGTAATAATGTCCCATCCTCTTTGTCACTTGTTCCAGGCTTAGCGCCTAGACACCATGTCAGACAGTGATCTGGGTGAGGATGAAGGCCTCCTCTCCCTGGCAGGCAAGAGGAAGCGCAGAGGGAATCTGCCCAAGGAGTCAGTGAAGATCCTCCGGGACTGGCTGTACTTGCACCGTTACAATGCCTACCCCTCTGAGCAGGAGAAGCTGAGCCTTTCTGGGCAAACCAACCTATCTGTGCTGCAGGTAAGGGGGGTGGGAGCGGGAAGCAGGAGGCCTGGGTTCTGGTCCTATCCCAACCCTGTCACTGACTCACTGTGTGGCCTAAGGCTGGTCATTTCCTTCTCAGCCTCAGTTTCTTCTTTGGTCAGATGAGGACACCCACTCTCCCTGCCTTAAGGGAGGACAGTGACGAGGTCACTGCAGCTAGATTTCAAATATTTGAGAGTTCTGAAGGAAGGAGTCGTTATTAATGTCTAGGTGTCACCACTAACATTGGAGGCCGTAGGAAGTGAGAATAAATTGCACTGTGTCTGGGATTTGGCCCCCAGCCCGCCCCAGAGTGGTGCTTGGATGGTGACTTGGTTGTGGTAGAAAGCTGGTGATCTGTATTGTGGTTAAGATGGAGTTGGAACCACCATCAAGGAAAGCGCAGAAGTCAGAGATTCTGAGTTCAAAACCCATTTCTGCCACATCGAAGCTGTGGACCACATCTTGATTTCCCCATCTGTAAAGTGGGGGTTACAGTCCTGACTGAACTGTTCTGAGGGACAGATTCAGAACTGGATGTGAAAGTGCTTCGAGCACATTCAAAAGACTATGTTATGTGCCTTTTGTCAAAGTGCAAGGTATTATCTCTTTGCCTAGAGGAATTGCCTCTATGGCTGACATACTGATGTTTTGTTCTGTTTTCATGGCGCTGAGGCAGGACAGCCTGGACTGCCCCAGGTTTGTCTCTCACCTGCGGATGAAACACAGAGCAGGGCCTCAGCCTAGCAAGTGCCCACCCTATGCCTCCCTTTCCACCTCTGTCCTTTCCCAGCCCATCACTTCAATCCATAGTATGGGTTCTCCTTCCTTCTCTCACCCCACTTGAAACCTCCCAGATCTTCCCAGCTCCTGTCCCCACTCCGCGAAGTCTCATGGTGAGTATTCAGTCCTCAGAACGCCTGTCACCTGACTTACATCCTCTGGGCAGTGGCTAATTGGAGTCTGTCTACAAGGAAGGCTCTAGCGTTACAGATCCTGACTCAGAGCCCATCTTCTCCCCAAGAGGAAGCCTGGACCTTGGCCATGTCACTACCTCCTCACTGAGCCTCGTGTTTCCTCTTCTGAAAAAGGGAGGCGGCGGGATGGAGAAGCATCCAGGACTCACCATGAGCTGTGGGGCTCTGAGTGGGTGCCTCTACTCTCCTTTTCATTCTCATCTGTCCTAGATCATAGGTCTTGGACTGACCCCAGGTGTCAGATACAGTAGTGGGCACAGTGGGGTGCTTGTAAGATACAATGTACTAACAAGCACCCTGCTGTGCCCGGCTCTGTGCTGGGCAGAGTTGGGATCCCAGACAGAAAAGAGACTAATTCCTGCCTCAAGGAATATGTAGTTTGGGATGGAACAGCAGGAAAGACTTGACCACTGATGTTTGCAAAAAGTGATCACTGCTGGGACAGAAAGAAGATAACAAAGAGCCTCCCTGGAGCGTTAAAAGGCCTCCTAGAAGGGTAGACTTGAACTCACAGGCCAAAGTCTGGACCCTGGTAGCCAGTATTGTTACCCAGACAGCCTCTGGTGGTCTTCCTGCCTCCAGCCTTGTTTCTTCAGTCTAATCTCTTGAACACAAAAGTGCAGATCTGGTTGCTGCGCACACTGCACAGACCCTATTGACCTCAGGAAATAGTCCAAACTCCAAGGTACTTAGCAACCCCAGCTTTCAGTTCTTCTGTCCCCGGGGCCCTTGCGCCGCCTGGGCCTCCAGGCCTCCTCCCTTGGGTTCTTTCTAACTTTTCTGAACTCGACTCACTCCATTTGTTAGGCATTTTCTTTTGAAACCATTCTGACTCTTGCAGCCTAGGTTTCAGGCCGCTGCTATACATTCTCACCGTGCTTCACACCTGTACCCTCAAAGCAGTTGTCACTGTATTGAAATTGATTTTTGTCAGAGACACTGTTTCTCAAATCTGAGTAATGTGCCATCGCCTTTTAGAGGAAAATACTTTTGTTACCACATCACTTAAGCATGTACAAACTGAAAACTGGGTAAAGTCTTGCTTTTGCTCTTATACACAACTATAAAATAAAGTCTTCCAAAGTAAATTAATGTAAAACCAATACGATTCCATCTAACTGCATCACTGTAAAATGGGCAGTGTCTGGCTGACAGGGCTGTGGTATGGAGGAGCAGAGGCACTGAGTCTGGAGTAGAGCGTGTCTGGGTTGCCAGGGCGCCATGGCACTCCTATCATAATCCGAACAGAAACACAAAGCCGCAGCGGTTTTGTGGAGAACTAGCTGCTCCCTAGGACAGCATACCTCCAGACCCCCACGTTCGAGGATTGTATGTCTGGGGCAGGCATCAGCTGGAGACTTCTGACAAGGCCAGGCTGGATCCCGGCATCCTCTGATGGGAGGCATTCTGTGGCCACCCTGCCCTAGAGTCATGCTGACAGATAAAAAGCTGTGGGGACCACCTGGCAGTCTTAGGTGGAAACTGCTGTGAATCTTCAGCATACATACACCTCTGCTTGGAGGTCTCACCTCCACAAGCCTCACGTTCCCTGATGGGTGACTGATAACATCTCCAAGCTGGTTCCTTCCCTTCCTGAGAGTGCTCCTGGATAGCTCTTTCTCAAGCTTCTGTGATCGATCAGTCACCAATTCCTAAACAGACCCATTAAATATTTCTGGAATATGGCTTGTTTTCTATCCTGGTCCAACTCTTCAGTGCTCCTGCCAACTTAATGATGACAGCATCACCTGCCCCATCTGCGTAGCACAGGCTTCATCCGTGGCACCTCCCCTCCACATTCTGGCCTCACTGATCAATACCGCAAACCACTTGACTCCCACCCCTTGGAGCATCTGTGCCTTCCCACACCACTGGGACTGGGTCAACATTTGGACCCTTGAGTGGTCTCATTTATCACTATATCCCACGTGTTTAGCTCAGTGCCTTGTATGTGGTAGGTGCTTTGTAAATAACAGTTGAAGTGACAGAAAATGAAGATACAGTGTTGGGAATGCCAATAGGCAGGACCTCAGAAGGAAGGAAATATGGCGCATCAATACGGAAAAGTGGGCTTAAGTCCCTGGGTGCATCTGTTTTGCCTGTACTTTTAAAATTTCATTGTTTATTAAAAACATTTGCAGATACCCTCAAAAGAGAATATTTTAATCTAATGCACCCCTGGTACCAATCACCTGGCTTCAGCAAGTATCAGCATTTTGCCAAGGCCTGTTTTCCTCTCCTTGGGGACATTGCTTTTGATTGTCTCTTTTAACTGCCCATGAGCGATCTCATTAGCAAGTCAATGAGTCATTTAACTAACTGGTTTGCTGGTACTTGCCCAGGGCTAGGCAGTTGGGAGGGTGAGACCAACAACAAAAAAGTCATTTGTGAAGGATTTTCACAGGTTCCTGTGACCCCCTCGAAGCCCACTTTATTGCTGGGGTGTCTGAGCCGCGGTTTCCAGTGGGGTGGGGAAGGGGAGGGAAGCGTGGCAGGGAGGGTCAGGCCCCATCCCTTCACTCTGTGATACTGACTAGGGCTGTTCTCTGCACCAGGCCCAGTGCTCTGTGCTGGAAACACAGCGGTAGAACAGGAACTTGCCCTGCCCTGGGCTATCGGGGAGAGGACGGAAGACATCATTTAAAAGACCAATATGTGTCTGGAGGAAAGGCTTCTCTCGGGGAGCAGCATTTGAAGGGGGACTTGAAGGAATGGGGAAGTAGGGGCAGCAGTCCCTCTGGTATTGGGGAGTTGGGCAGGAAGGGAGCCTGCTGTAGAGGCTGTGGTGGCCTGCTCTGTGGCAAGGTGTGCTCTGGGCAAGGCTGATCTCCTTCCTCTGCACCAAAGCTAGCTGCCTCCCCGTTTTTCCTGCTGGTAACCTCTGTCTCCCCATGTTTTCTTCAGAGAGAGAGGAAAGAGAAGGGGAGAGAATCATCTATGTGTGAGAGAAACATCAATTAGTTGCCTCTTGCTTGCCCCTAAGTGGGGACCCAGCCCAAAACCCAGGCATGTGACCTGGCTAGAATCGAACCAGTGACCTTTTGGTTAACAGGCCGGTGCTCAATCCACTAAGCCACACCAACCAGGGCTGTCTCCTTACTTTCTCATCTCTTTGTATATTTTTTGATCTTCTCTGTAAGCTTTTTTTGCTTAAATAAAGGGGTTTGCCCACAAGGCCAGGTTAAACTGGTGGATTAAACCATGGGTTCATAAGCTTGGGTAGCAGAACTCTGGGGAACTTAACACATTCCTGACTCGCTCCTACCCCCACCAAACATATTAAACAAATGAGAAATAGCTGTCTCTTAAAATCCCCCTCCAGGTGATTGTAATACAGCCAGCGTGCTCGGATGCAGCTGGTTACAACACATGGAGGTACTATGAAGTTCGGGAAAGGTCCCTCCATACCTTCACTCCCCTCTGCTCTTTAGAGTCTACCGTTCACAGCTGAAAAGACACTGAAATGAAAGCACTTGTGTCAGATGCCCTGCTCTGATCCTCATGGCCTTCACAGCTTCTTGGTGTCCCTCCCACTCCCATTTGCCACAGTGATTCCTCCCGCGTCCTTCATCTCATTCTGTGATTAAAAAAAAAGGAAAAAAAAAATGGACAGGGCAACAGCCTTTCAGACAGAGCCTTCCTTTATGCTAGAGACAGGCTTTCAGGCAGGCACCCAGGCTGTGTTTTGCCACATCAGTCACAGAATTCACCTTGGCATTCTCCCACCACCTCCCCAAGGACCTAGAGTGGGGGCGGGCCACGTGCCCCTTTCCTGACTTAGGCATGGGTCGTGCAGCTGGAAGGGGCTACAGAAAATCCTGATAGCCTGTTATCACAGCTGGTACTGGGGACGTACACAGGCCCTCTGCCCTTCCCCAGCCCCCCTCAGCTGTGCATTTCTGTTGGATGAGAAGACAAAACAGACAGTATTCTGCCAAGTTTTCTGCAGACCAGGGTGAGTGTGTGGGAGAATATGTTGGTGGTGGGGTGTTTCTGCTGTTCTCAGGATTTTAAGCCAAA